CCTAACCAGTAAGGCTGCATATTTATACTTGAGTTTTTGCCATCTCTTTTGGCTCTGATTAGGAGAGATTGGTGGCACAGTGGTTAAGACATTCAGCTGCTAACCACAAGGTTGGTGGTTCAAACCTACCAGCCACTGCCCAGGAGAAATATGAGGCACTCTGCTTCTGTGAAGATTTACAGCCTTGGAAACCCCATGGGGGTTGCTTTGAGTCAGAACAATGGCAGTGGGTTTGGTGTTTGGTTTTTGGGTCTGAATGAGGCCTGCTCTCAGGCAAAAGTCCCTAAAAAGTAGAAACTCATCTAGTGCTATTCTCTTCTTCCAAGAATTGACTATCCTCCACTTTCTTCTTACTTTTTATCACTATATAGTGTCATCAGGTTGTTGTTTTTATTTTGTCTAGGGTATTAATATTGGCTGAGAAAACAGGCTTGCCAGTAATAGCAACTCTGTAATATAGAAAGGACAAAGAAAATAAATATGGAGTGGATCACATTTAAGTTTAAATCTTGGCTCAACTCAAAATTTTCTAGGCAGCTAGTAGTTTACTGAAGGAGCCTTGGTGGTATAATGGTTAAAGCACTTGGCTGCTAACCAAAAAGTCAGTTGTTCCACAGAATAAAAGACCTGGTGATCTGCTCCTGTAAAGATTATAGCATATGAAACGCTATGGGGTGATTCTACTCTGTCATATAGAGTCACTATGCCTCAGAATCAATTTGATGGCACACAGTGACAACAAAGTTGATATTTATCCATAAGGTTTTCCACTGGCTAGTTTTTAGAAGTAGATAGCCAGCCCCCTCTTCCTAACCTGTCTTAATCTGTATGCTCTGCTAAAACCTGTTCACCATAGCTAACCATGCTGGTATTTAATATATTAGTGGCTTAGCTCTCAGTATCATAGCAATACACAAGCCACCACAATATGAAACCTCTTTAAAGTGTTAAACAGCAAAGATGTGGCAAATATCACTAAGGTACATCTGACCCAAGTCATGGTCTTTTCAAGCACCTCATGTGCATGTGAAAACTAGACAGTGAAAAAATCAAATAAAAGATTTTAATTGTGATGCTGGAGAAGAATATTGAATATGCCATGGACTGCCAGAAGAACAAATCAGCTTTGGAAGAAGTACAGCCAGAATGCTCCTTACAAACAAGGATAGGAAGACTCTTGTCTTGCTTACTTTGGACATGTCATAAAGAAAGACCAATCACTAGACAAGAACATCAGGTTTGGTAAAGTGAAGGGTCAGTGAAAATGGCAAACCAGCAATGAGATGGATTGACACAGTGGCTGCAACAATAGGCTCAAACATACAAACAATTTTAAGGATTGCTCAGTACTAGGCAATGTTTCATTCTGTTATACATAAGATTGCCAAGAATCCAAGCCAACTGGACAGCAACTGACAACAACAATAAATTGTTACTTAAACTTTCTCACTCTTAATTTCCTCAGGTGTAAATGGGGAAGGATAAGATTTAGATTTTGAGATTTTATTCATCCATTTTAGAAATAAGAATAGTAAGATTGAACAACTGTTTCCACTGACAGTTACTTTGAGGATATTTTTGTGCAATTATCAGAGAGTTTCAAAGGTAGTTCTATGCAAAAATTCAGCCTCTTGTATTATCTGGCAGGAATTTAATTGTTGAAGATTTACTACAAAAATGGAAAAAATTAATATTATGAACAATTCCCTGTAGATTGTGTTCTGTAAAATCTGAAAATATGACTTGTACATAAAAATAATGTTTTTTAAAATTTTTATCTAATAGCCACTAAGTCTTCATTAATGACTAAATGAATTTATTCCAATTATATTTATACTTCTGTCTGAGAAAAGTTGTTTCAGTCTTTCAAGTAATTTGTCTATTGTCATGGAAAATTAATTAAATGAATGTAAGATGATTTTAAGAGAAAACTTCTGATTATTTCAATAAGAATTTTCTTTGATTTTGAGAAGTCCAAATCACCTGTCTGATTATAATTTTACATTTCATATGTAGCTGTAAGTTTATGGATAAAAACATAACTCCTGTTTCCTTGATATATTTTACCCATGTTGTTGTTGTTATGTGCCATTAAGTCAGACTCGACTTATAGTGACCCCTCTTTAGGTTTCCGAAGCAGTATCACTGTGGAAGTAGATTGCCCAGCCTTCTTTCTGAGGAGTGGCTGGTGGGTTTGGGCCTTTGTATTTTAACCTGTGTTTAAATAATTTTGAAAAACACAATTAATGGGTGAATATATTATGAAAACACAAAAAGAAGAGCAGAAAATTGACTAGAAACTCTAAGACTTTGTATTATTCTATACATGACATTTCTTCAGGTATAGAGCTTGCCTAAGTTGGCACTAAGCTTTCAGTGAAAATGTTGACATGATCCTGTAAGAACTAAGGCTGGACTCTGATACCAAAGACACCACAAGAAAAGAAGACTACAGGCCAATATCCTTTGAATACAGATGCAAAAATCCTCAGCAGAATACTAGCAAACTGAATCCAACACCATATTAAAAGGATCACCGTATTTTTATACAAATAACATATTCTAGGTTTGTTTACCAATTGCACCCTTCCCCTGTGAGGTATTTTCATAAGTGTGCTGTGCTAATAGAACAAAGGAAAAGAACCACATAATCATTTCAATTGATACAGAAAAGCCTTTGACAAAATTCAACACCTTTTCATGATAAAAATAGTCAACCAACTAGGAATGGAAGGAGAATTCCTCTATGATAAAGGACATTTATGAGAATCTCACAGTGAATATCATATTTAATGGTGAAAGACTGAGTGCTTTCCCTTTAAGGTCAGGAACAAGACAAGGATGCCCACTTTCACCACTGCTATTCAATACTGTACTAGAAGTCCTTGCCCAAGCAATTTGGCAAGAAAAATCAAAGGTATCCAAAATTGGAAGGAAGGACAAAACTATTCCTTTTAGCAGATGAAATGATACTATATAGAGAAACTCCAGAGTCTACAACAAAACTATTAGAGCCAGTGAATTCAGCAAAATGGTAAGATACAAGGTCAACATACAAAAATCAATTGGATTTCTATAATCAGCAATGAGCATCTGAAAAAGAAATTGAAAAAACAATTCCATTTACAATAACATCTAAAAGAATGAAATACCTAGGAATAAATTAAATCAGGCGAAAGATAAGCACACTAAAAACTATAAAACATTACTGAAAGAAATAAATAAATAGAATTTCTGTGTTAATGTACTAAAAGACTTAATATTGTTAATATATCAATACTAACCAAAGTGATCTATAGATTCAATGTAATCCTTATCAAAATTCTATCAGCTTTCTTGGCAGAAATGGAAAAGACAATCCTCAAATTTATATGGAAATACAAGGGGCCCTAATAGCCAAAGTGTGTGGGGGGAGAACAAAGTAGGAAGACTTAACACTTTTTCATTTCAATATATACTCTGTAGCTACAATAATAAAAAAAAAAAATCTGATAGCTGTGTAATGATGGACATAGAGACCAAAGCAATAGAATTGAGAGTCCAGAAATAAACCCATACATCTATGGTCACTTGATTTAGCACAAGCGTGGTAAGTCCACCCAGTGGAGAAGGAATAGTCTCTTTAATAAGTGGAACTTGGATAACTGGATCTCCACATGCAAAAGAATGACACTGGAACCATATTTCACACCATATATAAAAATTAACTCAATATGGATTAATGAACTTAATGTAAGAACTAAAACCATGGAACTCTTCGAAGAAAAGTTAGGGGTAATGCTTGGGATAATGTTTTTGACCATGTATTCTTAGATATGACACCAAAAGCACAAACAACAAAAGACAAAATAGATGAAATTGGACTGCATAAAAATTAAAAAACTTTTGTGCATAAAAGGACTTTATCAAAAGAAATGAAGAGACAGACTTGTACAAAAATTTTGGTACCCATATTTCAGATAAAGGTTTAATATCCAGAGTATATAAAGAACTTCTACAACTCAACAACAAAAACACAAAAGCAATGCAATCTAAAAATAGGCAAAGGACTTGAATAGACATTTCACCAAAGACAATACATAAATGAAAAAAAAAAACATGAAAAGATGCTCAGTATCGTTAGCCATTGTTGTTGGGTGTTGTTGAGTTGGTTTCAACTCAAGCAACCCTATGTACAACAGATCAAAACACTGCCTGGGCCTGTGCCATCCTCAGTCATTGCTATGTTTGATCGCATTATTGCAATCACTATGCCAATCCATCTTGCTGATGGTATTCCTCTATTTTGCTGACCCTCTACCAAGCATGCAAATCAAAACTATAATGAGAGACCAATTTACCCTCATTAAGATAGCTATGATCAGAAAAATAGAAAACAATAAATGTTAGTGAGGATATGGAGAAATTACAAAATAGTGTGCAGCTGCTTTGGAAAACAGTTTGGTACTTCTTCAAAAAGTTAGACATAAAATTAACATATGACTCAGCAATTCTGCTTTAGGCATATACCCCAAAGAATTGAAAGCAGGGACTCAAACAGACACTTGTACACCAGTATTCACTGCAGCATTATTCACAATCATCAAAAGGTGGAAACAACCTAATGTCCATTGACAGATGAATGGATAAACAAAATGTCATATACCTATACAATGGAATATTATTCAGCCATGTACAAGTGAAATTCTAATGCTAAAAGCATTTTATAGGATGTGGAAAAACATGAGTTTTAATTACCTTGCAACTCTGGGCTAGTCAAGTAATCATTCTGGTACTGCAAAATGTCCATGATCTGAGTTATTTTTTTTGCTCTAGAATGAGCTTTAACGGAGAACAGAAAGATTCAAATACTCTAAAAATAAATACTTGATGATTTGAGGTAGAAAAATTGGCTTTACACTTTTCAGGAATATATCACATAAAATATAATGAATCCAGATAGGTCTAATAATTTAATTTTTTGAAGATTTGATTTTCAAAGTTTAATTCTTTCATTTTAGGTATTAGCTAAAGAAGATACTGATGCAGCTATTCATTCAATATTATATAGAGAAAGTTATGTAATTAAGGTAAGAGTTACTGTGTATTAATTAAAAATTAAATTTTACTGTTTTTCTATTTTAGATGTAGTGCATTCTTATAAAAAATTTGGAAAATACAGAAAATAGAAGAAAAACTGCTCATTACCACCTGGGATTAACCTTAAGGGATAGCTGAGATTGCTTTGACTTCCTTTTTACCTATACTTTGTGGAAATTCCTTCACAGATACCTTGTTAGACTTTCTCCCTACTTACTTGTTCCTTCATCTTAGTGGCTTTTCTACAGAGTCACTATGAATGAGCTAATCTTTAAGAGCTATTATTGGGAACATCCTTACCAACTACTCAGATATAGCTCTGGTTTTGAGTGGTGAAGCGCTTGGCTAACTGAAAGGTCGGAACTTTGAATTCACCAGCCGCTTCATGGAAGAAAGATGTGGCAATCTGTTTCCATTAAGTTTATAGCCTTGGAAACTCTATGGGGCAGTTCTATTATGTCCTAAAAGGTTGCAACGAGTTGGAATCGACTCAATGGCAATGGGTTTTTGGTTTTCATATAGGCAAGAACAAGGCTTCAACTGTAGCAGGATGGGCTTACTTAGATGAGAAAAATGTTCAGGTGAGATATACTAAGCACTGGGATGGGTAACCTGTTTTTTGTTTCTGTTTTTAAGAATGGTTTCTGAAATTCTTTAAAAGGAAATAAATTATTCATTGAGAATAGTTCTAGTGTGCTATAACTTGATGTTAGAAGGGACATAGACTAGAAATCTTCTCAAGGTTCTTACTATTTTCATTTGAATTTCATGTTATGTTGATTACATGATTTCATTGTCTATATAAAAGGAGAGTAGTTTTGGTGAGAATGAATTAGTTTGCAGCCTGAGTAGAAGTCTTCTTTGCAGGTTGAAGTCATTTGGAACAAATTGTGTTATACTTCTGCTTCTTTACTCTTGTCTTTTTCTTCTCCTTGTCCTTCTTCATTGAGTGTTCTTCCTCATTCTCTATCACTCCTTCTCTGCTTTAGTAAGTCCTCACTCTTTGAGCCCCAGTCCATATGTCTCCCACTTTGGGAATCTTTCAAGACTCTAGAAAATATTAAGTTTTGCACTTCTGTTTTTTCATTTACTATATACATATCTATCTTAATATATTGTCCCTTTTCCCAGTGTTTTGTTGATAATTGTTTTGTTGTCTGTCTCACAGACAGCAGGCATTTTGTCTAATTTATCAGTATATTCCTTGTTTCCAGTACAGTGTATGTCACACATTAAAAGCCAAATAAATAAATAATTGAATTAATGAGTGCCTTTATGGGTTACTATGAATATAAAAGAAGTTTAAATTTTCAAAAAAATTATAATTTTAATATATTTATCTTTTCTGTCACTGTTTACTAGGAAATAGATAGGTATTTACAACATCATGACTTTTTAAATACAAGAAGAAAAGAGATATTATATAAAAGATGGGTTGACCATGTGGCAGATCCTCTCCAGAAGAAGATTATAGAAAAAGTCTGTTCACATAAGAAGATTAAAAAAAGGAGACAAGAGGAATTAGAAAGTTTTTTAAAACATGTAAATAAAAAGGTACTAAGAGGTTATTTGACATTTTCTTCAGTTGGTTTAATGACTGGTTGTCTTTGTTCATTTATAATCATCCAAACAGCCTGCCCCACCTTCATAACTATAATTTCTACTCTGTTGTAGCATATACTTTTCTCAAATAGACGGACTATGGAAGGGATGAAGGAGGAGGGTTAAGTCTGGATTTAAATATGCTCATTAGAACCATTTTTTCTTTGTTTTTCCCATGTAATTTTTTTTGCTTTAGTTTGCGTTTAATTTTATTATTTTTATTTATGCTTTTTGTTGGGATATACCGTGCATTCAGTAAATACAGCTTAGTGATTTTTTTTTTTACATGTGTTTATAGCACCTAGATCAAAATACAGAATATTTCCAGTACCACACCCTATTCCACCCAGAACTAAGTACTATTCAGAATTCTATAGCCATTTATTAGTTTTGCCTATTTCTGTGCTTCATGTGGAGTCTGTGGATGGTGCAAATAGTTCATGTGCTTGGCTGCTAATCAGAAGGTTGGAGGTTCAAATCCATCGTGAAGTGGCTTGGAAGAAAGGCCTAGTAATGTACTTCCCAAAACTCAGCCACTGAAAACCCTATGGCATAAGTTCTGTATTTACCAATTTTTAAAATTTGGACTCTAGGTTCAGGACATATTTTTATTTTGTTTTGTTACTCAATTATTTGCAAAGCTAGAACATATTTTTGTTCTCCTGGTATTTTTAAGAGATTTGAAGTATTTAGCTGGCAAACACTTAAAAACAAATTCCCAAATATTGTAGATTATAAGAAGATTCTTTCTATCACTGTAATATTTTCTTGAATAAGGTTAATTTCAAATTTGGTCTTTTCCCTTTTGCATTTGTTAATGATACCACTTTGAAGTATAAGAATGGAAATGCATGTTTGACTCTCTAGTTCTATATGGCACAAACTTAATGGTGCACCTCTTGCTATGTGTGCTTTTATTTCATTCCTATAGGGAAATGCATTTATAGAAAATTATGATCCAAAAGAGTATGACCCTTTTTACAAGACCAAAGAGGACCCTCATTTTATGAAGGTAAGGTAGATCTCTTATTTCACCTTTCATATTATGTCCTTGGTTGTTTTGAGTAGTCCAATAGTGTTTTCCTGAGAATTAGTAAGTGCAGTATAATTTTAAGAATAATTTGTCATCTCCACATCTTAGAAAACAAAAAGAAACCAAAAGGCAAAGTACACTAAGCCTCCATAAAATTGGAAAATATCATATAAGAATTATATAATAGCTGTTCAAAACTTTCACATTTCTTACAAAAGTAATACATTTTTCGGATCAATAAATGATAAGACTGATTTTAAAAAATGTTGTTGTTAGGTGCCATTTAGTTGATTCTGACTCATAACAATCCTAGGCACAACAGAGAAAACACTGCCTGGTCCTATGCCATCCTCACAACTGTTGCTATGCTTGAGCTCATTATTGCAGCCACAGTGCTAATCCATCTCATTGAGAGTTGTCCTCTTTTCTGCTGACCCTCTACCAAGCATGATGTCCTTTTCCAAGCACTTGTTCCTCCTGATAACATGTCCAAAGTATGAGAGGCAAAATCTTCTAAGAAACATTCTGGCTGTACTTCATCCAAGTCAGATATGTTTGTTCTGGCAGTCCATGGTATTTTCAGTATTCTTTGCCAGCACCACAATTTAAAGGCATCAATTCTTCTTCAGTCTTCTTTATTCATTGTCCAGCTTTCATATGCATATGATGCTATTGAAAATATCATGGCTTGGGTCAGGCATGCCTTCGTCTTCAAAGTGACATCTTTGCTCTTTAATGATCTAGGAGGTTTTTTCTATCAGGAAGTCTTTTCCATCAGATTTGCTGAATGCAATAAGTCATTTGATTTCTTGACTGCTCCCATGGGCATTGATTGTGGAACCAAATAAAATGAAATCCTTAAAAACTTCAATATTTTCTTCATTTACCATGATGTTCCTTATTGGTCTAGTTGTAAGGATTTTTGTTTTCTTTATCTTGAGGTGGAATCCATACTGAAAGCTGTAGTCTTTGATCTTCATTAGTAAGTGCTTCACGTCCTCTTTGCTTTCAGCAAGCAAGGTTGTGTCATTTGCATATCACAGGTTTTCAATGAGTCTTCCTCCAATCCTGATGCTGTGTTATTCTTCATATAGTCTTGCTTCTTGGATTATTTGCTTAACATACAGATTGAATAAATACAGTGAAAGGATACAACCCTGACACACACCTCTCCTGATTTTATTTAAACTGTATCGTATTCTCTTGTTCTGTTTGAATGACAGCCTCTTGGTCTACATACAAATTCCTCATGAACACAATTTAGTGTTCTGGAATTCTCACTGTTTGCAATGTTATCCATAATTTGTTATGATCCACAAAGTCAAATGCCTTTGCATAGTCAATGAAACACAGATAAACATTTTTCTGGTATCATTTGCTTTCATCCAAGATCCATCTGACATCAGCAATGATATCTCTTGTTCCACATCCTCTTCTGAATCCAACTTGAATTCCTGGAAGTTTCCTGCAACCATTTTTGAATTATATTCAGCTAAATTTTGCTTGGGTGTGATATTAATGATATTGTTTAATAATTTCCATATTCTGTTGGATCTCCTTTCTTTGGAATGGGCATAGTCCTATTCACCTACTCATACAAATAGCTGATCATCTTGCCTGTCTAATTATGGATCTACTTGTAGATTAAAGCTTGTTACTGTCGATAATGCAGGATTGTGTATGTAGTAGTGTTTACCTTTGTTGACTGTAACTCTTTTTTTTTTTTTTTGGCTTTAACAAACAGACATTTATTTTCTCACAGTTTAGGAGGCTTTTGCTCTTGTTGTTATATGCTGTCGAGTCGGACCCGACTCATAGCGACCCCTCCTTGGGTTTCCGAGGCAGTATCACTACAGAAGT